AAGTAACATTCCCTTGTATGTGACCTCCCGGAACATGCAGCAATAGCTGTTCTGGAACCTTGATACAAATGAAGAGTAGAACAAAATCTCATGTTTATTCACAAAAAAAATCCAGCATTTGCAAGATGTGTAGCCTGAACATACACCATAGGGGTGGTCTGAAAAATTCAGGCTAAGTGTGGTTCTTGACTGCAGTGGTCCAAAATATGTGGCAGAAACAAATATAAATCATCCCTGGAGAAATCCAGTTTTTTTCTTTTTGAAATGGAGTCTTGCTCTGTCACCCAGGCTGGAATGCAGTGGCACCATCTTGGCTCATTACAACCTCTGCCTCCCAGGTTCAAGCAATTCTCCTGCCTCAGCCTCCCATGTAGCTGGGACTACAGGCGCATGCCGCCATGCCTGGCTAATTTTTTGTATTTAGGAGAGACGAGGTTTCACCGTGTTGCCCAGGCTGGTCGCAATCTCCTGAGCTCAGGCAATCTGCCTGCCTAGGGCTCCCAAAAGTGCTGGGATTACAGGCGTGAACCACTGCGCCTGGCCAGAGAAACCTACTTTTAAACAAGTTCTAAAATAATTCTTACAAAGTTCTAATAAATACTAGTTCTCATTTCAAAAGCACAAAAAGCAAAACGAAACAAGCTATTAAAACCAACATATTCAGACTCCAAAATACTTCATCTATTGAAATTACTGTAAGAGGGTATAAAACAAATATGTTTAACATGCTTAAAGGAATGAGAGAGATTACATACATGGGTAAAGAGCAAGCAACTGAAAAAAGAAGTCCAAACTGATTTGAAAAGGAACCAAATAAAACTATAAATATAAAATAGTTGAGATAAAAATTTCAACAGATCATTTCAGATTAGGTATAGCTGAAAGGAGAATTATGAATTGGAAAATGAGTTAATCAGAATGTAATACAGGGGGCAAGGAAGTAGAAAATATGAAAAAGAGTCATGGAAGGTAGGAGGAGAAAGTCTAATATTCATCTCCTCAGAATAACAGCATGAGAAGGAAGCAAGAATGAAGTAGAGGCAGTATGTGAAAAAAATAAGTAATGAAAATTTCCTCAAAATGCTGAGAGACAGAAATGATTACAATCAGAATGATTGCAAAGAAACTCACACATATCACCATGAAGCTGCAGGACAGCAAAGACAAGAGATATCAAAAGCAGTCAGAGAGTAAAGACAGGTTACTTTCAAAGGAAAGAGAGTTGGGCAATAAATTCTCAAAGGCAATAGTGGAAACATGGATTCAGTGGAATAATATAATATCTTCAAAATGCTGAAAGAAAATAACTGTCAATCTACAATTCTATACCCAGCAAACATGTTTTTTAAGGTAAGCATGTTCCCTGAAGACCCTCATGAGAGAACATTTTTAAAGCATAACGCAAAAGATGTCAGGTGAAAGAAATATATATGTGAATAAATCCAAAGGAAAAATAACTTCATAAAATAATTAAAATAGTGTTTCATGAAGTTTATTCAGTTACAGAATTCAATTAAACTACAATTAGAATGAGCAACAATAACAGCTCCCAATATAAATTGAACAGAAGGTGTATGGAGTTAAAATAATCTAAGAAAAAAGGTAAAGATGTTCGTAAATTTTAGACTTTTATATATTTGTATTCCAGGAAAAGCTACTGGAAGAAGAGAAAGAACATAAAATCTCTAATCTCAAAACAGGAGATAATGGAATGAGAAAAATAAGAGTAATCTCAAAGATGAAAAAAAGAAACAAAATATTTGTGGCATAAACAGAAATCAACATACTTAGAAAAATAAACCTAGTTTCATATTAATGTAAACGTAGTAAAGGTTTCATTTTAAAGTAAAAGCTCATTTAACTACATGACATTTCTAAGAGACAGTCAGATAAATCATAAGTATATTTTCAACAGAAAGCAGAAAGTAAAAGGATAGAAAAATATATAATGTGATTCTTAACCCATAATTTCCTTCAAGAGAAAACTCTGCCAAAAATATACTTGTAATGCCAGATACTTTCAGTGCCTTAAAGTATCTCTTATATTACAAATACAGGATTACAGGCTTAGAACCTCAAGCTGCCTAAGTTTCTATTTCTTTGATGCTTTACTGTGTCTTATTTATGACTTAGGCTGTCAACAGAGTTTCCTGGCAATCAAAATTACGGGTAGTGTTTATAAGGTGATAATTTATTTTACTGATGTATTTACAATGTTCCTCTCTGTCAAAACAGACTTATTTCATTTAATTGTTCAATTAGATAAGCTGGAATCAATATGTAATTGCTTAAAGACAGCACAAAGTGTTAAGAGAAAAGCTTTAGAAGCTGTTTTTTTTTTTTTTTTTTTTTTCTGGTGTGGGAACTAAATATTCTTTGTTAGTTCACTTGTTAGAAGTGATTTAAACGATCTTTTTGACTTAATGCCATTTCACTTTTAACTGAAGCTGTTGCACTACAACATCCCACATAAATCCTACTCACATATTAAGGAAAAATTTTATTTTAATTCTTAACTGCAATAAAGAATGCTTTCACATTTTCATCAGAGGATTTTTCTAGCTTAAATAAATACAATATCACTTAAATGAGTAGGAGGATTTGAATTGGAGACAAGGTGAAGAACAGTGGATAGAGTCGGAATGAAGGGTGACTTCTCTTGAGATGGAAAATGCACTTAAACTTAACATGACTTTGTGGGAATGTTTGTGTAGACAAAAAAGTCATTTTACTGTGTGCAGTCTTAGTAATCAGTCCCTAAACTTTCACACATCAATAATTCAAGAATCTATCACTATAGAATATGAACTTTCTTATGCAATGCTTACACAGTCCACTAATGAAGAATTATAAATTATTCTGAGATGTGGGTATTGAGTGATTGGATAGGATATCCACTGGCAAAGTTTCATATCAGTATAGAAACATGTAAATTCATGCTTCAGCAAAATTACAAAATATGGACCTACCAGGTTAATAGCAAATGGCAGACCCATGCATGTTAACTCTATTAATTTCAGAATTCCACCTACTCTTCTACTCATACAAGTGGAACACTGTGAAAAATGTTATTGTAATTAGGAATAATTCTGTATACAATTTACTGTCAAAGGAGGCTACTAATTTTGCATTTAATTTCCTGAAATGTCAGGAATGAATACTGATAAAGATACAATTTAGATATATAAGTTGATCTTTACTATGAGCAGAACATTAATTTTTTCCCCTTACAATATAGTACATATCATCTGTGTTTAGCAAATTGACTTGAATTATCCATGCATAATCAACATCTAAATCATTGACCACAAACAAATTATTGGTGTTCACCTTTGGGTCCAGATAGTCATTGGCTGTTAGGTATAATCTAACAGCAAATGAGTACCTGGGGCCACTGGAATAATCTATATTTTCTCAAGAAAATTATTGCCCTGGAAATGGTCAGCTAAAGGCAAGGCTTTCAGCATCCCAGTTAATTATTTATGAATATCAATTAGTTTCCTCCTGCCTTTTTACCTAACTCATGAGAGACTGACTCGCTGACAACAGGAGAGACAGTGAGGAATGGGGGATTGTCTTGGGCAGTGTTATGTCGTGTAGCTGTTCTAACATGTACTTGGGATTTGTTTCAGTCAGGTATGGTAAGACAGAAGACATAGAAATGATGGTTATGAGGAAAAAGTTTCCACTCATAGATCCCTGGAAAAAGGAGGCACACAGGGCCACATAGGGAAGTACCCAAGTTGGTCAGGAGTCAGAAAGAGGGAGAAGACAGAGCATGTGTGGAGCCTTTACTTGGGATTTTGTGAGCAGGAATGAGCAAGGTAGGTAGGCATGTGGAGTAAGTCTAGGACTGGATAGTTTGAAGAACTTTGCTGGGCTCTGGGCTATAAGGTGTAATCCCTAGTTGTCTGACACTTGGCCCAGGGGTAATGTAGGGCAGAGAGAATACTGGTTTGGTATGTGAGAGTTTTTAAACGAGATGTTTGGGGTGCAGCTGTGAATTGTTGGCTTGTATATAGAACAGGGGCTAGCAGGAGTGTCATTTGCAATCTCTAAAAATTAGCTAGCCCTGAAAGGAGCCATCTTTCCAGGATTAAGGCTTCAAATGCCGGAACATCAAGAATATAAAAAATAGGAAAATATAGTCAATGCAGCAGTCTTATCTTTGTCATCAGGCTAAATAAATCAATGAATCACTATTTATCTGTACTTAAAAAAATTAGTGGAGTTACTAGAAAGTTAACCATGTATATCAGGATTGCACAGTGCTGCTTTTGGTAGCATGTTTATAGTTTAATTTTCCAAAAACAAAATTCTCACAGTGGCAACAAGAAAACAAGGTGGCTAACACAAAACCCATCTTCCTATTCAGATAACTTAAAAGAATGGCTCTGCTGGTGACAGACACACAAAGAACAACCACACTGACAAGGAGTTAAGAAAAGATACACAATGAATCACCAGGAAAGGAGCTGTCTAGTATCCTTGGCACTGACTTTTCTCATCCTCTACGTGAAATGGTTGGGTCAGGGGGCCACAAAGGTTTCATCTAACATCATCATCATCCATCTTATCTCCTCTCTCCTCTCTCTCTCTCAGTCTCTTGCTCTCTCTCTCTCTCTTTCTCAAACACACACACACACACACACACACACACACACACACACACACACACATACACACACATGACCTTCATTGTATCCCAGGATACTGCCTTCTTAAAATGGTACATTGACTATACAGGCCTGACCTTTCGTGGGAGCAAACAACTTTTATGCTTAACACATCTATATGTGAAGGATTTCTCAGGGACTAAAAAGTCTAATTGGACAAGCAGGTTGTTTAATCCGGTTTGTTTGTAATCTCATGCTTCATTAACAAAGCATGTGTCTCCCGCCAACGTTTCTCATTTGGATAATATAAACTTGTACCTAGCACAGGTTAAAGAAGATGCCTAAGAATATGCTTCCATAGGTCCTAAATTAAGTTATGCATACCTTAGAGGTATCATCGCCTTCATCCTCATGCACTGAGCTGGATGGTGAAGGAGTTGCAGACTTGCTTCCAGGTGGAGATGGTGAGTTGTGGGGAACATTGCTTCCTCCCATATTCAAACCAAGTTGAGCACTTAGCTGTGACTGGTTAATGGTAGTCAGCTGGCTGTGTGGCATCATTCCTGGCTGCTGCCTGATGTCTGCAGGCTGGGCCCTTGGTCTCATGGCTGCCATCTGAGGATGGGAACTATATTGAGTTCCTTCTGGGTTTCGTATATCTTGCATCTACAATAAATAAATAAACAGGAAAGGAGTAATTTTCACAAATATGTTTCTGGCAAAAGAGTAATAATTATTTTGATTTTCAGATGTTCTGCTGAGTTACATACACATTTATTTTATTTGGGGTAAAATAATCCTAAAATTATATATCACCCTCAAGGATACCATAAGACTACCAAAAGAATAGAATTTGAGAATCCAGTCAGCATCATACTTCACCACTCAAGGTGTGATTACTTATATTTACAGTCTTTCTATACTAGTGAAATATAGAAATATTTTATCTACATATGTATTTGTATGTTATATCACGATAATAATATATATAAGGTAAATTTCAAGATGTTGATGCTCAGTGTCTGTCAAAATTATTCAATCATTAGAAATTACAACATTCACAGCAATTCATTAAATCCTGCTTATTTTATCTTGATCATTTAAGAAGGCTTTAGGAGTTAATAAGTGTACTCTTGTACTCAGTGTAAACCTTTACAGGCTATTACTAGCCAAAATGATCTCCTAACTACCAGATTCAAAACACTGATAGGCTGGTATTAACCAATTGATTAACTGACTATTGAAATGACTGCACAGTCAGACTTGAAAGTAAAGCTCTAAAATTGCAAGTTCACCATATTAATACATTATGCTATCTGAGTCACTGGTTTTTAGCCTTAATGAGACTCACTCTTGTAATTCAAGCAATGAATTTTGTCTCTGCAAGGATTAGCATTAAAAGCATTGGAGGATGAAGCTCTTAAAGTATCTAGAGGTCAAATGTGTTGTATATGAGGAGTATGGCGAATTTCACTTAACATTTCTCTGGCATTTTCAAACAAAATAATGGGGAATATTTCATGGTGCTTATAGGAGCAGCTCGGGTTTTTCATCCTGAGGGGTGTTGGGGAATTCAGGCAGGTAGAGGGCACACAAAAGAGAGAAAAACAACAAACTGTGGGGAAAAAAAGATACACGGTTAAAGTTACATGTTAGAAGTGAAAAAAATGATAATGTTATCATATTCTGTTTCATTAGAAAAGAAAATCCCACACAGTATCAGATGTTTAGCAATGACCTGTCTGCAAATGTTACTGTGACATGAAAATACTGTGAAGGCAAATTAAGTAATCTAGTCATATAGCCTTGTTTTCGTTTTTATGGTAATAAAATCATTTTCTACCATTTTCTCTCTAGTCATTTTACCAGTCTAGTTAGATTCACCTAAGACTAAAATTGAGGCTGTCCAGAGTCCCCATGTATGCTCTGTGTTCTTCTCTGGAACAGGTTTACTCCCTTCACCATGAGGTCTCATATTAGTCAATTTCACTTCTTTAGCTCTTTTCCAACTTTGGTTACTGTTGACTCTCCAGGCACAGTTCAAGGTGTCCTAGATCTCTGGCTGGCCTCATAATTTGTACCTGCCTTTTCTAAGTCCAAACCAACATTTTTTCCATTATCCAAACTGTATTCCTCCAATCCTTCAAAAGTAGCTCAGGATTCTCCTTTTTGTGAAGTCCCTTGTAAAACAGCTTTTACTATTCAGTGGTACATGCACGAGCTGCAGAGGCTCTTAGTGACACTGTCAGTCTATCGAAGAGGAAAATTGGGAGGGGCTGATGGTACAAGCTTGTTGAATGATTGTGGAATAAGTATATACATAATTTTAAATGAATAAATGAAGGAGTAAAGTCAAAAGAGGTTAAATGACTTGACCAAAACCAAAGAGTTGGAGTTAAAATCTACCTCTCCTAATTCTGGTCTTTGATACTTACCACTGGATTAAACAGCTGATTTAACATTTTACATATTCCATAAAGAGGGTTACCATTAATTAAAGATAATTAAAAATGCATTTTCAAATGTTGTCTACCCAAATCAACAATGTTTTTATCTAGCCCATTCATGTTGCCTTCAGTCACATTTGCTAAAATGGTTGTTGCCTCTTCTTAGATGCACATGTCACTTCTACAATCTGATCTTGTTTATGAAATAATACTAGCTTTCACAGATATCCTTCAAGTTGTGCCAAGGACAGAGGATACCATGAAAATTAGGACTGACTTTTGAAAATACAAAGAGACAGTGTATACTAAATTTCTTTTCAGGCCTACTCTCAAATATCCTCAAGTCCTATATTCTTTTAGATCCTTAGCATGCAAAACAGTTCCCATTATGGGCACAGAGTAATGAATGCCCATAAGTGGACACTATCTTACAAGGGGCAGCCTTCTTTCCCAACCTTGCAGCAAATAAAGCACTGAAATGCATGTTCCAACTTATATGTTTTATAGCCTTGTAAATGAAAAGCATTTACTAGCAAAGTCACACTTTAACTAAAAGATCTTTCCAAAAGCATGTAGCTAATTGATACCTTTATTTCTTCCTCACATAAATCCCAAGTTACGAAACACATACAGTCTGTAACATATCTGTTTTGAGCTCATTTCTTCTCATCCTTTCAGAAATCTTGTGGCTTTAATATATCAGAGAGGATGGTTTCTAAATTAATTTTCATATAGAGTTCCAGATTTATGACTACAACTAAAAGCGTTCCAAAAGCTTGAAGCAATCTCCACTTTATAGCACCTTCTCTCCTCCACTGTCGTGCAATCTTCTAAGTAGAATTCTCTTTTTTCATCCCAATTCAAGTGATTCCTTCACATGTTACTCTGAGTCATATTTCTTCCACCCAGATAAAATTTGCCATGGTTTTATTAATGGGAAATGTTCTAAACAAAAATGTACAATTGTGACCCAAATTCCAAGCCTAATTCTGAAACTGCATGAGAGGCATTACTACTTGGACATCATTCTTGCTCAGGAATCTGAACAAAGTTTTCTTTCTCAAAGCTATGTTTTTTTCTCTCTGGCCAATATCTGTTGATGACACCTTCATCCTCCTTGTCACCTCTATTCAACATGTTGCAGTCATTTTTGACTCTCCTTTTCTACCGAACTCCTGTCAGTTCTATTAGGTCTACTCTAAAACATCAATTATTTCCGTCTGCCCTTCCACCCATTTCCACACCCATTCCTCTATCCAGACCTTCATTGCCTTTGCACTTGCAATAGCTGCTTAACTAGAGTCACTCTCTTTACATCTCCCCCAAAGAATGGTGCAAAATTAATATTTATGAGCCACGGGTTCAAAAATTCTCCAATGACATCTGTCCCCCAAATTAAATCCAAACTCTTTCAGCATGTCATGAAACCTTCCAGATGAAACTTATACTCTATAACCATCCTTCATGTACTCTGTTGTTCAGTCAAACCCAATTAATTGCTCTGTTTTTTTTGCCTAAATCTCTCTCCCTTAATCATGTGTGTCTTTGTTTACACTGCTCTGTCATTATTCCCTTAGCATTTTCTAAGCATTTGCTGTCCAAAGTTTTTAAAAGGAGGGAAAAAAAAACCCATACTTTGCTCAGTGATTTGTGGTTTGCCTGGTACTTTTACTTATTGAGCCTTGTAACTTTCCTTTGAGGGAGCCATGTAGGAATAGCTGCTTTGTACAAGCCCACTGAGAGGTTAAATGATCTAAGATCTTTCTATCAACAAAGACTGAAATAAAAATGAAATATGTTTTTTTTCTTTTTACATACTTGTGCTTTTCCCACAATTCCATGATGCCTTTACCATCTTCATATATCCAAACCCTAAATATACTCTAAAGTCAAGTTCAAAAGTCAGCTTATCTACAAAGCTCCAAGAGCCTTCTTATTCTGAACTCCTAAAGCATTTTGTTTACACTTTTTTTGTGGGACACCACTTTAAAATTTACTTCTCTAATGTGTATATGCCTTCCAGATAGTAATCTCCTTTATTAGTTCATGACTAATGCATTTTTCAATCCCTCTTGAGATATCTTTTAGTTAAATGTTATTCTAAGTATTCAAAAAAATTTGCTGTGTCAGCATGTAACTGAAGCAATAAATTCATCAGTATAAACTGACTTTAACCAATCTGATGATTTTTCTTTTTTCCTGGGAACTTCTTAGTCACAAGATTAAAGATTTGATCAATGTCTGTTTCCCTTTGTGGCAGAAACCTCAAGCTACCCTCTGACACTCATTTTTCTTTTGTGCTGAGGAATGGGCCCCTCTAGCTGGCTCAAGGAGGACATCTGGAGCTTCCTTTGCAGCTATACATGGCCCTGTGATCATGAAATGTATGTGGAAGCATTGCGTGGTGCTTCCAAGAAGTCTCCTTAAAGGGAGAGGCTCACCTTCCTTTGTATTTTTTTCTAGTTTCTGCTAGCAAAAATGTGGAGATGATGGTGAGAGCTAGGGAAAATGTCATAGACCAAGACATGGCACCATAAGGAGGCTGAAGGCGGAAGAAAGAAGCCTGAGGGTGTGATTATTCCGGAGCCTGGACAACCTCCTTATGGTGGGAGTGAAAGGGGAGTAAATGTCTGTCATTGCAGCATCACTGCCATTGGGGTTTCCTGTTATAGGCTGCCCAACATAATCCTAACTACTGATATGCCCTAATAGATTATAAACTTAAAAAAACTGGGAGTTATTTTGTTCACCATTATAGCGCTAGTATCTAGAACAGATCTTGGCACATAGTAGGAACTCTGTACATTTCTTGAGGTACACTGAATAGATGTTTAGACCTGGTGCAATTAGGATTGACGATGCCGGCTTCACAGAAATAGTTGTTATAAATCCTTGATGTTTTGGGAACTTCATTTGCTAAATTTTAGGGCTTAAATGTCTCAAAGGTAATTTCTCATGTGTGTGTTTCTCATTTTGTTTATTTTCAAGCCTAATGAACTTCATATTTTCTTGGTAAAATGTCCTGCATGTCATTGGCATTTTAGTGTTGAGTAGCTCTTAATATTTATCTCACCATTTGCAAAATTCTCTCCATTTGAAAATGAGTCCTCGGTTTCACTTTTTTGGGAGCCAGATCTGTTTCCTAAAAATTTACATTGCTATTGATGACCAATGTCAACTAAAATAATGAAGGAGTATTATAAGGACGAAGAGGAGATT